TGTGCCCTCCCTGGGCTCGGGTCAGCGGTCGCCCTGCAGCCGCCGTTCCTGGGAGAGGAGAAAGGAGCTGGCTTGTTTTCATGTGTTTTGGGGTCCTGCCCAGCGCAGGTCCTGGCTGTGGATCTAAGCAAAGCGCTGGGTGCTGCAGGGGAGGGCAGAACAGGCCAAGCCCGGGGGCTGAGTGTTGTGGGCAGAGCCATGGCAGCCCCCTTGGCTGTGGGCAGGAGGCTCGGAGCCGGCGAACGTGAGTGCCTGGCTGTGGATCTAAGCAAAGCGCTGGGTGCTGCAGGGGAGGGCAGAACAGGCCAAGCCCGGGGGCTGAGTGTTGTGGGCAGAGCCATGGCAGCCCCCTTGGCTGTGGGCAGGAGGCTCGGAGCCGGCGAACGTGAGTGCCTGGCCACGCTGGTGGCTTGCTTCGTCTCCTCGCCACCTCGTAGGTATCGCGCGCCCGGGGCCATTGCCGTGCTGGTGCTTGCAGAGCTCTGCCCTTGCCTGCCCTGCAGCCATACCTCTCCTGGGCACGTGTGCTCCTGTCATGGCCCTGGGGTGTGGTGGGGTTCACGCAGTCCCCTGGCATCCCCTGAACACGTGGCTTTGCCAAGGGGAGGCCGGGTTCCCCAAGTCCTACTGGGTGCATTCAGGGACAGCAGGGACCACGTGCCATAGCTGGGAGGTGGCCCAGGCAGTGGTGGTGATGCAGCACTGATGCTGCGCTGGAGCCAAGGTGTCGCATGGCACAGCATGGCATCTTTGCACCTAGGGTGCCCACAGAGCCCACACCATGGGCAGTGCTGCTCAACCACACAGTTTGCCCTGCCCAAACATCACCCCTGCACCCGCTGGAGAGCTCTAAAGCAGATGCTTCGAATGCGGGGAGTTTTCCTGTTGTCCTTTGTGCCGAGGTTAAGTTCCTGTGCAGCTTCCTGCCCGTTATATATAGCTGTCAGCCCGTCCTGCAGCACTGCCAGCCGGCTGCTCCAGCCTGGAGCTGTTTATCCACAGCCCAAGCACTCAGTGGAACTTGAGGGGGGCTGGTGGGCACTGACTTCCCTAGGGAGCAGATGGGTCCCCTAGCAGCCTTGTGCAGGGTGAGGCTGGGGGTACCCCCGGGCGCTGGGTGCATGTGGGATGTTCCAGCAGGGGGCCGGGATTTCTGCCAGGCTGTGGTTTTGCCAGAGGCTGGGTGCTCCCTGCCCCGCACGGGATGCCCGAATGAAAGGAGGACTGTTCCTGGAGGTCGCCGGCAACGTCACAAGTTTCTACGTTGCCCTGGCTAAAATTAGACCCTTATCAGTGTTCGGGAGGGATGTGATTTTACAGGTTCCTGTTTATTAGAGCAGCCTTTGCTCAGGGCTGTGTTTCCTGCTCCCTCCCTGGTGGGGACACTGCCCGTAGCTGTCCCCTGCAACTTTGCGGCTTTGCGGTGGCTGGGGCCAGGACCAGCAGCAGAGAGGCTTCTCTTTCTTTAACAAGGGGCTTTTGAACGAGCGGGCGAGATGCCTGAGGTGCCACAACTGGCAGGGATGGGTGGTTTTGCCCTGTGAGCATCTGTGCTGGTGGGAACCGCTGCCAAGGCAATCAGGAAACCTTCCTCTTGCGCTCGCCCACGCTGCTCCCAAGCTGCGGGAGGTCCTGGGGGTCTTGCCTGCAGCCAGCCCCAGTGCTGGCATGAGTGTGCAGGGGGTGCCAGGTCGCTGGGCTTCATTTGGGGCATCCCTGGAGGTACAAGGCTCCCCCTTGTTGCCTTTCTGGGTCTTGGTGCCTAGACAGGGCAAGGACACGATGACCAGTGCTGCTTTCCCTGGGGAGGGTGGGGATGCTGGGACATTATCTGGGGTGGAGGGTGGCTGCTGTGGTGACTGGTGGGGTGGAGTGAGGGGTGGAGAGGTGGGTGCTGGCCATGCTACTGTCTGATGGTGCCCTTGCCTGTCTGTCCTTCTGCAGGCAGGCGGCTGTGCTGTGACCAGCGTCCTGACCCAGCACCTTGCTGTAGGGGTGGGTGTGCCCCGAGCACCCCTCCACCATGTTCAACCTGATGAAGAAGGACAAAGAGAAGGATGGGACCCGAAAGGAGAAGAAGGAAAAGAAGGAGAAGAAGGAGCGGATGTCAGCAGCTGAGCTCAAGAGCCTGGAGGAGATGAGTATGCGCCGGGGCTTCTTCAACCTCAACCGTGCCTCCAAACGGGACTCCAAGACCCGCCTGGAGATCTCCAACCCCATACCCATCAAGGTGGCCAGCGGCTCCGACCTGCATCTCACGGACATTGACTCCGACAGCAACCGGGGCAGCGTCATCTTGGACTCAGGCCACCTGAGCACAGCCAGCTCTAGCGATGATCTCAAGGTGGACGACGGCAACTTCAAGGGCTCGGTGCTTCAGCGGGCGGCCAAATTTGGCTCCTTGGCCAAGCAGAACTCCCAAATGATCGTCAAACGCTTCTCCTTCTCCCAGAAAAGCCGGGACGAGAGCACCTCAGAGACATCCACCCCCTCCGAGCACTCAGCAGCCCCCTCCCCGCA